CGGCCGGGTGCCGACCGAGGTCGCGACATGGCAGCGCAGATGTTGCTGGAAAAGGAGCTTCAGATCAAGGCGATGATGCAGAAGATCAAAATGCGAGAACTGAAGAAAAAGACGGGGAGTGTTAGTGCAGGTGGAACACCCGTGATGGCGGCTGCCAATGTCATTCCGGCACCTGAGGGAGTTGTGGCGCTTCCGCCATTGCCCAGTGTACCACCTCCTAGTGGGCTTTCCGACATCGCAGCTATGACAATGGAGGCAATGAAGCCGGAGACAAGAGTAGGCGTGGCGTCGACTTCGGATATTCAACAAGGTGACCCCATAGTACTTTTACTATGTAGCATCTCAATATCGGTTCAATAGATTTGACGCCGGCAGAAACGGGATTACCGGGTGTGGAGGTCCCGGCTCCTAGCGATGGCACACCAGGTTCGTAACAAGCCATTCAACTATGTAACTTTCACTAATCTTTGCCTTAGATCCCGGTTTGGAGATGCCGGTGCTTAAATCGGACAAAGGAAAGGGTAAAGCCGCAGAGGCTGAAGGTGAGTATGTGCGGAGCACACGCATGTTGTACTGATCCATGTTTCTAGCTGTTGTTAGAGATTCTAAAGGCGTGTCTCATGATAAGAGGTTTGCCTTGTTACTGACCCGCCACGTAGACTTTGTTATGGGCGCCTCGGCAGCGGCAAGGATACACTCTTATTTTTGGGGCCCGCCGAGTCAATTGATTGTTTTATTTCCCGTAGGCAATCCCAGAGGATCCGACCCAGTCGGGTGATCCGGCGCAACTAATGGAACGGGACTTAACTTCGGTGCGTATTCTTCTCGATTACGTTTTTTTAAACCCAGTTTGTTTCGGTGCTAAGGCGGATGGGCATCGCGAAATTATTGCATGTTTTATTTAGACACATTTCAAGACATATAGGTCGCCACTGGCCGGCTTCACTAGTCCCAACTTTCAACCACCAGCCCCAACGGACCAACAACTACCAACGATATATTGGATATCTTCAGCTGCTGGTCACAGTCAAGACGTGAACCGCAAGCTGTGCCAGTACGAGTTTCCTAGTGGCGTTTGCAAGGATCAAACATGCACGGATGTACACGCGAGGGACTTGAGCGCGTCCGGTGAGTATTTCTTATAAGATTTTATTTGTTAACACGCTGTGCCCCCTTGACTCATGGTTTGTTGCACGAGTAGATGATGATGTCCGGAGGACTGTAGCTCCAATGTTCCCAAATGCGGGACCTCGAGGCCTTGCGAGCATTGTGGCACGAGTGCGACAATTAACGAATTCGGCACTCTGACAACATTTGCCCGCAGAGCGCGGCTTTGAATATGATACTGACAATTCCTGGCATTGTATTCCTACCTCCTTCCCTCCCATTCTCGTCGTATCACCCTTATTCTTCGACCTCCTTCGCTGTCACTAGGTTGCTCAACCCTCTACGCGAACTTCAAGTGACGGGAAAAGGCTATCTCCTCACTCCTGGCGAGTTAGACCCTCTGTTCGTGGATGCTCCACCTTGTTATGCGCTATTTAATGTCCGGTTTGTACTATGTCTGTGTATGCAATACGTATCGTTGCTTTTTGAGACATCTGTGCGCAAGGGCAAAGATCAGCATGAGAGCAGAGACCGAATGAGGAAGCTGGGATGTTGTGTTTTGGGCAGCTGAGCTAAGCAGAAAGTGCCAAAAGGGCAACGCGTCCATTTGCTCCTTACCCCGCGTATCTCCCAGCCCTCTCCTTCTCCCCCGCTCCTCCTCCTACCTTTACCCCGCCCACCGACATGCGCCGCGACGTTCGTGTATTGTTAGTTGGCGATGGTAAGCCTCGCGTGCATTCATTCCTCGCTAAATTATCAATCTATCGTGGGTAGAGGGAGTTGGGAAGAGCACGATTGTAACTTCCCTCATCAAGGAGGAGTACGTCGATAATGTACGTGAGTCGCATGCGACACCCTGGACGGAGAGCTCACACACCTCGCAGGTCCAGCATGTCGTACCAGAGGTGACCATACCTCCCGAAGTAACACCCGAGAATGTCACCACCTATATTGTTGATTCGTCAGGTGAGTGCTCAGTGCGTGCTCCTAAAGGCTCTTACTTACCCGTTATTTCTCCAGCTGGTCCTGCTGATCGACCCCATTTGGATTCAGAAATCCGCAAAGCACACGTAATATGTGTGGTTTATGCTATCGACAACCCCAACTCATTTGACCGCGTTGGAGCATATTGGTTACCTTACTTCAGGTCACTAGGGGTCAATGTACGTATCTTTTTGGTCAAGGCGTCCGTTGTGCTTGACTCGACGGTCTGCGTAGGTTCCTGTTATCCTTGTCGGAAACAAAATCGACCTACGAGGCGGGGAGGTCTCCAACGAGGATCTTGAAAATGAAGTGGCGCCAATTATGGAGGAATTCAAAGTACCTCGCCTTTATTAACCTGCCCCCGCCGTGCTTAACTAATTCTAACTATTCAGGAAGTAGAGACTTGCGTCGAGTGCTCCGCACGAATTCCAACCAACATTGCTGGCATCATTTTCTTTGCGCAAAAAGCAGTACTCCATCCAACCGCGCCCTTGTACGACTCACGAGAACATGTAAGTATAGACCCTTCATCTCGCAGCGCTGCTCCTACCCAGACAAGGAGTTGTCGTTGCCGATTGCTGATTTGTCTATACAGACGTTAAAGCCCGCAGCTGTTGATGCTCTTCGGCGGATATTCCGGTTGTGCGATACCAACAAAGACGGAGTGCTTGACACACACGAACTTAACGAATTTCAGGTATGTTCTCGCCTAACCTCTTGGCCCTTGTAATTCACGAGCGCACTCTAGCAAACTTGTTTCAAATCCCCACTCCAACCCCAAGAAGTTGAAGGGATCAAGACTATCCTTCGAAGCCATGACCCCTCCATGCTTCGCCCTGCCCCATCCCCACCTCAGTCTTCGCCTCGTGACTCGCCTCCTGGCACGCCCCCTATAGAAGAGGGCGTGACGGAAGATGGGTTCTTGTACCTACATACCGAGTTCATCAGACGTGCCAGGGTAGAAACGACCTGGGTTGTATTGAGACAATTCGGGTATGCGGAGGACCTGAAGTTAACGGAGGGATGGTTGGCACCCAAGTGAGTTAAACGTTCGCTACTGGAGTGCCTAAATTTATGTTCGCTCTCTATTCGAGATTCGATGTCCCACAAGACTGCTCTGTCGAACTTAGCCCACAAGGGTACCAGTTCTTCACTGATATTTTCCAAATCTTCGATAAGGTATGCGCCCAACCCGGCCTGGATACACTATGGCTTCACCGTATAGTAATTTTCTATATTAGGACCAAGATGGCGCACTCCGACCAGAGGAGCTGGATAACTTGTTCAACACATCACCAGGAAATCCATGGGTTGCGGACGATGACGAAGGTGTAGATGGAACAATCACCTTACAGCATTGGCTGGCAAAATGGAGGTGCGCAACTATAGCTTGATCGTCAGGCTGCAGAATACCAGTCCTAACACCTACCATAGCATGACAACCCTACTAGATCACAAAAAGACTCTTGCATACCTCGCATACCTTGGTTACAACGCCGGCCCAACCACCTCCGCTCTCAAAATTACAAAACCTCGGCGAGCGGAACGGCGTAAAGGCAAAGTCACGCGTAACGTCTTCCTGTGTTATGTTGTTGGCGCTGCTGGATCCGGCAAGTCTTCTATCTTGAACTGTTTCCGAGAGGTAGGCGGCGGAGGTGTGGGAGGCAACGTCACTGGAAAGGAAACCGCCAAAGGGAAAGGCAAGGGAGGTCTGGATGAAGTTGGACCGTACAGACCAACGGAGAAGGTGCTGAGCGTTGTAGGAGCTGTCGAGTTAAGAGGTGCTGAAAAATATCTGGTTGTAAGTTTGCTACCGCTCCATAAACTGACCCCTGAACTTGGCTGAGTGTCTGAAATATAGATGCGAGAGTTTGGATCAAAGAGTGAGGCGGACATGCTGCGGGACGCAAAAATCATGGATCTAGCCGACGTGATTATATACGTGCACGACTCGAGTGATACGAATTCGTTTTCGTATATCAGAAT